ACAACATCCTCCCGTTGCTTCCCCTGCCTCTACTTGCTGATGCAGGTGTGTGTTTTCACCTCTGTGCGGGGTCGTTAGCTTGCAGCTCACATCTCCCTCACGTGCTCCTGACTCAGCCCCCTCCACCACTCGTTCGCTCAGCTCAGCATTCCCTTCCTCCCTCCTCTGTCTCTTCTTCTCTGGTCTCCCTTCATCCTTTCAGTTTCTCTTCTTGACCTCTCTCCTCTTTCCTTCAGCAGTCCTTTCCTTCCTTCAGCTCCCTTGCCTCTACCTCCAGTCTTTACCTGTCTCCTTATCTTTTCACCTGTTCTGACACATTCTTCTCTTACTCATCTTTTTGTCTTCATCTCTTCTCCCTTTCTTGTATTTCTTCTCTTCTTTCCTTCCCTTCCATCCATCTATCTACACTTTGTTTCCTCCCCTTCTCTTGCTTCCTTCTCCTCTTCCTCTCCTGCCTAGCCATCACCCTTAATCCCATCTTCTTTTTTCCACTTTGCTGCCCATTCGTCTTTTCTCTTCTTCCATTCTTTTCTCTGCCATCTTTTCCCCTCCTTATTCCTCCATCCATCTTCTCTTTCTCCATCAACTGTCCCTCCTCCTTCTGCTGCTGCAGCTTTTTCTCCTTTTCCTATGTCCTCTCATCTCATTCTCTCCTCCATTTTCTCTCCTTGCATCCCTCCATTTCCCACCCTCTCTCTCTTCCTCCTCATAAATTCAGAAGACAGGCTCATTGTTTTCTCTGTTGCCATTCAACCCCTTTTCTGTCATCTCTCTTTCCTTCTCTCCATTGCAGATATTACACAGTAAAGCATCCGTGGGCACGACACACATGCACACTGATAATACACTCTGAGTAAACATGTTGAACCAGAAAACGGGTAAAGTGCAGCTGCGTGCACACACACACAAACACAGCTGCTGGGATGTGACGTCATGGAATCAAATACACATAGTGTACTAAGGCCTGTATGACACTGCTCCTTGTTGTACACACTCAAACACAAGAACAGGACATTCCATGCATATAAAACCAACATCATACAAACATGACCAAGCACCACAACACACGCAATGTGCGTCTGAACATCTCTCTGCAGCAGCAGAAGGCGACAGTCGGCCGGAAAACGTGGCTTCTGTGTGCTCCCAGTGCCGTGCTGATTCTGAATAGTGATGAAGCCGCTGACAGCTACACAACACGACTCACAGACGGCGGGATGAGGAAGCAACCGAGCTGCTCAGCAAGAAGCGACGCCTTCTCTGCTCAGCACTCGTTTCCTTTTTCCCACATTCTGTAGTTTACATGACTGTAGTCTGAGTCTGAGTGCAGCGACCTCTGACCACAAACATGCTTAAACTGGTGAAGCAGGACTTTCAGACAGACACAGGAACAGACTCATTCAACCTCTAACCAATCATGAGCTCTAGGTCTACCAAGGTAGAAGTACTGGAAATGTTGGTCTGAATGAATGAATTTATTTATTTCAGTCCATCTACTGTACAACATTAAACAATGTATGTTTCAATAATACTTTAGGATAAAAAAACCCAAATAATTAGAAAACTAAATAACTTGTATTACATACAGTTAAAGTCAGAGGTTTACATACAGCCAAATACATTTAAACATTCCCAGTTGGGCAGAATGGGATGGAACCAATACTCCGTTAGTATTTGGTAGCATTGCCTTTAAATTGATTGGGTCAAACATTTTGGGATGCCTTCCACAAGCTTCTTCCAATAAGTTGCAGGAGTTTCAGCCCGTTCCTCCTGACAGAACTGGTGGAACTGGGTCAGGTTTGTAGGCCTCCTCACTCACCCGCTTTTTCAGTTCATCCCACATTTTTTCAATTGGATTGAGCTCAGGGCTTTGTGACGGCCACTCCAGTACCTTGACTTTGTTGTCCCCAAGTCATTGTCCATTTGG